AMAGTGACCCACTTAGATRYTRTCTACCAAACTTTAGTAAAGCCTTTGACTCAATTTCCCAGASCATTCTCCTGGAGAAACTGRCTGCTCATGGTTTGGACAGGGACGCTCTTGCTGGGTGAAAAACTGGCTGAATGGCCAGGCCCAGAGGGTGGTGGTGAATGGTGCTGCACTCAGCTGGTGACCGGTCACTGGTGCTGTTCCCCAGGACTCAGTACTGGGGCCATTCCTGTAAAGATAAAATAGCTTTATCAATGATCTGGCTGTGGGGACTGAGTGCACCTTCAGTCAGTTTGCAGCTGACACCAGGCTGGGTGGGAGTGTTGATCTGCTGGAGGGTAGGAAGGCTCTGCAGAGACATCTGGACAGGTTGGATCAATGGTCCAAGGCCAAGAGTGTGAGGTTCAGGAAGGCCAATTGCTGGGTCCTGCCCTTGGGTCACAACAATTCCATACAGATCTACAGGCTGGGGGCAGAGTGATCGGAGAGCTGCCCAATGGAAAAAGACCCGGGGGTGCTGGACAAGAGCAGCTGAACATGAGCCAGGATGTGCCCAGGTGGCCACGAAGGCCAGCAGCATCCTGGCCTGTGTCAGCAGTAGTGTGGCCAGCAGGACCAGGGCAGTGATTGTCCCCCTGTACTCAGCACTGGTGAGGCCACACCTCGAGTGCTGTGTCCAGGTCTGGGCCCCTCATGACAAGAARGAGATTGAGGGTCTGGAGTGAGTATGGGGWTGGGCAGCAGAGCTGGTGAAGGGTCTGGAGCACAAGTCCTGTGAGGAGCAGCTGAGGGAGCTGGGGGTGTTTAGCCTGGAGAAAAAGAGGCTCAGAGGAGACCTCATCGCTATAGCTGCCTGAAAGGAGAGTGTAAAAAGGTGGGGGTCAGTCTCTTCTGCCATGTAACAAGTCACAGAACACAAGGAAATGACCTCAAGTTGTGCCAGTGTAAGTTTATATTGAATATTAGGAAAAAAGTGTTTACAGAAAGGGTGTTCAAACATTGGAACACATCACCCAGGGAAGTGGCTGAGTCACCATCCCTGCAGGCATTTAAAAGACATGTAGTGGCACTTAGGGACATGGTTTAGAGGTGGACTTGGCAGTGCTGGGTTAATAGCAGGACTTGATGATGTTATAGGTCTTTTGCAACCTAGACAGTTCTGTGTTTTTCTCTCACATATTTTTTTCTCATCATCTGTTTCCCCTGTCCCTTTGAAATATTCCCTTTAAACACTTCCCTGCTCTTCATCTGATTCTTTTCTCTGAAATCTTTTGCATCTTGCTGAAGATACCTCGGATAATCCTCACGCGCCCTTCCACATCTGATGAAGATGCCGACCAGTTGCCCCCAGACCCTGATGACTTTGAGCCTGAGGAGCCGGACAGCGCAGAAGGCCATGCCTATTCAGACTGTTTGAGCAGTGCTTTTTATTCTCCCTAATAAAGTATTTTTCTGGAAGGAGTTCATGGGTGGTTTTCTTTCCCTTTGATTATGTTTAATGTAGCACTTGAACCACTATGCCTTATTTATAGTGAAAACCATTACATGGAGGATGAGTTTGAGCTGTGGGAGCAGAACTCTGAATTTCTTTGTCCTGAACTCTCCTTCGGCAAGAACTTGCAAGCCCGAAATGAAATGCACTGGGTCAAGTTATATGAATGTCACCACGTGTTTCAGCAGCCACTCCTAAAGCTATCCTGCAGCACCCAAATGTAATGGTGAAAAAAGCAGGTGGGTTTTATTCAGAAGGTACTTTACCCATTTGGAAACACACTGAAAACAATTGTACAGTTTGGTGGGATTTTTTGAATCTTGTGTCCGTGTTTTGTCTATACAGCTTGTCCTTCTATCTCCCCCCACGTTCCTTTGATTTGTCCCTTTTAATGTCATTTTCTATGAGAATTAAAAGACCATTTTCTGTCTTTAAATAGTGCTGATTTTTTTTACCCACTGAGAAATGTTATTTGTGTTGGAATTCTCTATCTCATTCTAATGTAATAAAAAATAGTTTCTCTAGGGATATCGGCAATGGGAATATATATCACATTTGAACAGGACCTGTAAGTTGTATTTTATGAGATCCAAGTGCAGGAGGCACCTTATGCAACTATGTACCAGAGAGTGAACTGAGAAGCAATTTCTTATGCTTGAGGAACCGTCTGAAATTAAATTGTCCCCTGACTTGCATATAAGCAGAACACTTTTAATTTGCCTTACTGCAGTATGCCAGTTTCATGTATATGTATGTGTATACATGTGTGATGTAAGCATTTAAGAGCAATTGTCCTGTATAASAGTTTCAATCCTTTAATTCTCATTGCTTTTCAGGTTTCTAATGCATTTTAAGCTGTTTAAGAACGTTTTGGGACTGTTCTTTATTTGGGATTCCACAGTGCTGCCTTAACTGAGAGGTGGGGTCTGGCCCTGCTAGACTTGAATGTCATGACTTTCTTTTCATGTACATAAATTGTGCATTGATGGTTTTTATTATGTTTTTACAGTTTCTTTTCCTGTAAATGTAATATATCACAACCCAGTGACCTGGTAAATACTCATCTTCTATTCCCATTCTGAAAGATTTCTCAGATGATCATTCATTATAACTTCAATGAATGCTGGTAGCTGGTTTTTACAGAATTAGAAAGTTCCCAGGAGGCTATGACTGTCACAAAGAGAACAATATSTTCTACTGACAAAAGGAATATTTTATTTTGAAAAGATGAGTTTGCACTAACACTATAATATCAAGTCAACTGCATCCACTTTGGTTTGCATTTTAATTGAAGATAGCAATAGGAATATTAAGCTAACCTCATTCATTTGCAAAATGAACATCTTGGAATCTATTATGACTTTAATATTGAAGACTGTATATTGTACATAAGCATAGGCTTAAATTATATCGATAAATGAAATAATATTTGAAATTTTTGCTTCCCATCCCTTTTCTTCCTCCAAAATAAACAGGCCTCTTCCACCATGACTTAATATTTGATCAATGCATGTTGCAGAAGTATCAATCTCAGAGCCCACAAATRCTTTGGCACTAACAAGTAATGTATGGTTTTCTACTGCTTTACTGTGTCTTACTAGACTACAAAAAAAGCCCCCAACTCATTCAGCTGTTACAAACCAGCCCTAGGTTGCAGAATAAATTGTAGTTGAAAGCTAGTAAAATAAGAGTTCTGTTGAGAAMTTGTATTTCTTTCTTTTTCCTTCCGATGCACAAGTGTTTGTTTTAGATTCTTTGTTAGATGTTGGAAATCCAAACATTTGCTATAAAAATTACAAGCTTTAACCAAATACTATCACCATTTAGATAACTTTTAAACACTGAGATATTTATCTGTCCTTTTCAAATGAATTTGTTTTCAAGGCAAATTTCATATTACAGTGTTGAGAATTTTGCTGTGAGTRTAAGCTTATGGTGGTAACACTCTCTATGGACATGCAGCTCTACAAAATATATCAGTCAAAGCCTATGCTTATTCAAGCTTTGATTAAGAAAAAAAAATCAGCAGCAGTTGATTATGTTTCGCTTTCATTTTGTAAAAAGAGGGGCAGAGGTAAAGGTCAGATGCTGGTGTCCTTATCAGCACTGAGTAATGTCTCTTTTGAGGTTTGGCTGTTTGATAAGAATGGGCAGAGACASAAGGTGGAGAGGCTCAATGGGAGTTGGTCTGTTAATGACTGCTCATATCCTGTGCTCCCGTTTCCTGCTGACCGGGGAGGTGACTAGAYAAAGTCACTGCCTGGTTATGGAGCAGTCACTTGTTTTCTGTGGGGAATGGGCTTCTCATTCTCAGCTGCAACATAATTTAAAAGATAGCTATGAARGTATTTAATGCTTTCCTAATGTATTTCATTAGCCACATCTCATTGTTACATCCATCATTGTGGAGAATGGCATGGCAAACCATATTAATCAATATGGGTGGGAAGATTTTTTTTTTTTGTGTAACTAATCCATTGAAAAATTTTCTGCCCAGGATAATTTGGTTTGCTGGGATATAGCAGTAATATTTAGGGACATTGTATATATAACTGAAACAATGGACATCTGACAGAAAGGAGGTCTGTTGTTCCACTTCTATCGGTACTCCTGGAGGACAGTAGATGTAGGCCCTTGCCAGCACAAGGATAGTCCACTTTAAAACACTTGATTTACAAGATCTGCAAAGAGAAGAACGCATGTACAGCTTTCCATGGACTGCCAYGTCAGAAAAGGCTCTGAGCTCTTGGAAAAAAATTAATGTAGTGTTGAAATAACCTTTATTGTTTTCATCCTCAAATATATACTAACTTGTCAAGGAGCCTCCTGCTCCCTGTACATGACATGTAGGACTCTGCTTGCTCCCATGCAAAGCGGAGACTTGTGGTTTCTGTGCTGTTTTTCCACGCCTGCTATCTCCTGCTCCGGGAGTGTTTGCAGAGCCAGCGGGGTGGACCAGGGAGCGACAGCAGCAGCTGTCGGGTGCCGCGGCAGGAATGTGGAYCCACCTCTCCTAAGGATCAGCTTCCCACCCTTGGCTCCTGGCTGCCTGAAAGGTAAGCCTGCTTCATATCCTATCTCTGTAGCTCTGTCATGCTCTTCATTTCTGCAGGGATCCTGCCGTGAAATCCCAGCTAGAAATGCTGCTGGGGTGCYGTCCTTTCCAGGAGTGTGCATGTGACCTTAGGTGCATGTGACCTGGRGTGTGACAGAGGGGACGCYTGCTGGCAGGGCACGATGGRGCTGAGAGGGTGAGCCCCAGAAATAACCTGGAAAGCTCAACTTGTGCCATCTGCTGGACTGGCAGTTACAAGTAGCAGAGCTGCCCACTGAATTCTGTTCTTGTTGTTCCTTTCAACCTTTTGATTTAAGTGCGGGACAGAAACTCTCTCCACATTAGAGCTTTGAAAATCACTGTGAGAGTAACTTCTGTATCAGTCTTAGGGTTTTTAACTGGTATATGTGACTAAAGTAGATGTTTTTTTCAATACAGTTTAGTATAATTGACCACATCAGGAGCAGAATTACTACTTCCAACTGTTGAATTCTCCTGATGTGTCTGATGCTGAGCAAATAAAAGCGACAGGCTTAGGAAAACAGCAGTGCAGACGAGTGACGTGTGGTGCAGCTACTGGCTGGCAGCCCTGGGCTACTGCTGAGCCAGGCTGAAAATGAAAATGTGCAAATTTAAAGAATTCCAGGCGCCACAAGAGTGCAAACATAGCTGAGAGTGACACACAAAGTTTGTGATACTCACTTGATTCCTTCTCCAAGAGCAGCAGGTCCGATGAACACAGAAAATACATCTGCTTAAATGTATTATAGGCTTAAATGCCCTATTTACACAATAATGTTATTTGGGATATTCATCACTTGTATTTTACAAGAAAGCCCACGGTCCTCCCCTCCATCAACTTTTTCTCTTGGCCTCTTGTTAGGTCCTGTCTGAGAAGAGAAACAGGTGACAAGAGACAAGTGACTGTCATAAAAAGAAGCAATTGGAAATAGCACAGTAATTTAGGCAATGTCTAGAACATGCTTTTTACTTAGCACCTGTTTGCTGTGTTTTCCCTTGCAAAGTAAAACAGGAAATATACAGTTACTAACAGTGTCTCAGAAGGTACTTGGAGAAGAATAACTATTATTTCTCTATACTCTTCTGTAGGAATAAGAAGAGTACTCTCATGATTATATAAAACCAAATTCTCAAATGGTTAGGATCATGGTCTTTCCTCAGGTTTAGTGATGAAATGTCATGCTGAGCAAGGTGTGGTAGATAATAAGGGGATGTCAGCTTTTCTATGGTTCCTTTCATAATAGCATTCAGGCTGCAGAAGAGCCCTGCATCCAGCATTTCTTGAACTCCCTGATTTTAGTGTGATGGCATGAAGTTTGGTGTCATACTCCCTTGCACTCATAGCCTTTTTTTTTTTCATGTTCTCATCTCCAATGCAGTTTGCKCCARCTCSCTGRCAGTTGCACAKTTGGCAGCATGGTGCATCCAGMATATAAATTTCCATTCATGAGAAGTGGAGCTTCTTAAGTGAATGCTCTTAGATGCTTTTGCAAGAATGTTAATRGAAAACTCACTTGTGAAACTACATAGTCTCATCACTATCTTATGTTAAAATTGTTGAGTACAGTTCAGTCCATTGTCAGTTCCTCGTGTCTCTCTGTAGAGATTGTCTCTGACATCAAGGCATGACCTGACACAGGAAAACAGTGTAAGACCCTGAGAGTAAAGACATGTAAGACAGTGTAAGACCCTGCGAGGTGAACATGATTGTAGATTAAGTTTTAGGGTAGTTAGGATGAGTGCTAAGTTACACACAGCATGATACCAGATAAAAATCTGCCATTGCTTGCTCGTATATGTCCTGCACTGCTGGTTTATTGCACCACTGCTCTTTTACCAGCATGCATAGCTGTTCCCCAGCCCACAGAGGAAGTGACTCCCTTGGGAGCTGCTGTTTGGAAGCCTTCTGACATCCAGGGTCTCCCRGCTACCAGTGGGGCAGGGCTGGGATGGCACTGAGCAGGCACAGTCGAATGTGCCCACCTGAGGTGCTCCTGTCCTGGTCTGTCCTTTAAAACCATCACAAATGGACAGGTTAATGGGAGTGGAGGGGGTTCAGGGTCTTCACCTGTGCCRCAGGAATGGACAGTAATGTAAGCAGCAGTGTAGTGTAAGCTGCTCTGTGGATCCCACTGGAGATCTCATTTGAGGTCGTTAAGTGGTGCAAAGACATGATGAAGTTCCTTGCCACAGGGATAAGTTTTGACCTAATGGAAAAGGTTACGAAGATAGGAAC